CTGTTGTGTTTTTCTTGTAATATAAACTTATTTCATATATCGGGGCATTAAAAGCAGAGAGAAGACTGAGAATGGACATACCAGCATTTTACGTGGACGTAGCACGGAAGAGATCCAAAAGATCGTGGACATTACCTACGAGATTCGTGAACATTAGCTACGTAGTTCAATGTGCACGTTTCGTGCACATAGAGGCGCTAGCGGACAGAAACACGTAAAATGCGGGCATGTCCACTCTCAGTCTTCTCTCTGGTATATCCAATAAAATCTAGTAAATAAATTTATTTGATGTTAGTAACATCGGATGAAAAACTATCGACTTAGGGATTAATCGAATCTAAAAACATCGATAGAATTATCGATGTTTCTATACATCGGTTAAATATTGCCCATCCCTATTATCACGTATCCACGGCATCCACACGTATCGGTTAACTGCTTCTGTTACTTGATCTGGATCCGCGAGGTTGGGGCATGTGGAACATCATCGTTGTTATTTAACAACAATTAACGTGTCAGTTTTAACGAGTTGCACCATTCAACTTAACGGAAGCATCGACAATTCTTTAGTTGAGGTAAGGTGTATAATTAGTATTTTCAATGATGCCGACTTATCTCGTCGGGCGGATAGCAATGGCTGCAATGCGACGCCCGAAATTGTCGCGTGTTTCAGCATTTAACATCTGTGTCGTGTGAAACGATGGAAATCAAAGTGATGAGAATAAGGCGTTGAGAATCTTGTTTAAAGTGCATTTTATCAATTCTGGTTTTACTTTTTCCACCGAACCCTTCTATTGACATGGGATAAATATCAAAATAAATAATAAATCTATGTTTAATATCTTGTACAGACTTTGAAGGAAGCGAACAATTGATTCTAATTTTATTCAAAATTGATCTTGCAAATTGTACAGTTATCTAATCACATTTTGAATTCCATTTTTATTGTTATATTATAAATATAAATAATTTGTAATAAATTTATATTACACAGGAATAAACAAATAATGGAATCGGAATCTAGGCGCAAGGGCCCCAGGAGCCCTAGCGCTGATTCTGATGATTCCTCACATGCCAGAAGGAGAAGGAAGTATGATCGATCGCCATCTCCAAGACGAAATAGATATCGCAGGTCTCGGTCGAGAGATAGAAGATCTCGCTCAAGTTCCAGAGACAGAAGACGAAAAGAGTCCAGCAGATCGCAAGATTGGAAGCAACAACCTCAGTCATCTCAGTCTCAAAGCTCTGTATCCAATCCAAACAATTCTGCTGGTTATGTTTCAGCAGTACATAATCAATATCAGGTATAAATAGTATTTTATAGATTCACGAACAGAAATATAACATAAAAGTGCCTCTTGTTAATTTATTTATATTCATTGATTTTATTGTACGTTCTATACATATATATATTATTTTATATTTTTATGTACAGGCACCTCCACCTAATACAAGTCAACCACCACCACCTATCTCAGCCTACAATCAGGGATATAACAACTATGGTTACAACTATGGCCCTGGTTATGACTACAGTTATCAACAACCAGCTGGTTACCGAAGTGTAAGTTGTACTTTTTAGAAAAAGCTTAATGCACTCTTCAGAAGAATGCTCTCTTTTTTTTAGAAAAAGATTAATGTAGTTAGTCTTATTTAGAGAACAATTATCTCTTTGGTGTCCAAACAATGTGTATTTCTGATATCCAAGAGCGCACATATTTTTGAGCTCTTAAAACTATGCATAAATTTGCAAAGCAGTTTAAAAATAGTTGACACCGTTTGGAAATGGTTCATACAGTTCGAAAGTCCTGTTACGCTATCGATTATGATTTATATTCGATGGTATTTTTGTTCTCTTGAAAACGTTGCAATTATATTTCTCCGATCGCAATTGTGAATCGATGAGTAAGTATAACATCCGCGTTATTTATTTTACCTGATACCAACAATGGAAACCCGTAATATTGACCAGATCTTCAAGACTTCCATGTATTAGCCAAAGTCCTCATTTGAATACCATCCGATAAAGGTAAGGGTTGACGAAAGTGTTGTTGAACGAGTCGAGATTGATTGGATGTATTTATTCTGTTAGGATTACCCACCACCTAACTGGCAAGGAAATCAAGTGTCATACAACAATCAGCAAGCACCACCGCCACCATCATTGACACCGCAGCAAGATTCATCAAGACCAATCGACAGTGGTTCTTCCGGCTTAGTGACATCTTTAACAAGACCTGAGGATGTCAAAAAAGAAGGTACATAACTCTCATGTTTGTAGTGCACTCAAATTTATTTTACAATGTACTAATCTCTTACGTATTGGACAATTAAAAATTTCTTTGAAGAAACTTTTTTAACTTGAAACTCTTTAATTGGAACACCTAGCAGCAATCGCAGCTGAAGTAAAACAACAGAAAGCGACGTTGGCTAAACAGCGAGAGGAATATGTTAAGAAATCTGCCACGCTGCAACGTGAATTGGAAATTCTGCGTCAACAGTGTGACGAGATAGGCAAGGACGGTGGACGCGAGAATACTCGAATTATAAAGGAAAATCAGAAATTGCAGGTAAATAACCGCACATAACCTTGTCAGCACCTTTTTTGCGACCAACATTTATTTTAATTGAACGCATTTGCAGATCGAAATACAAAACAAAATGAAGTCTATCCACAACGTCATCGATATGCTCACCGGCATCATCGGTGACAAAGTTACTGTGGATGATCTGAAGAGCAAGTTTAAGCTAGAAGTGAATAAACGCTCTAGAAGCCCAAAGGAAGACTTTCCGAAGGGGAAGTCTCCTTCGCCCAATAGATCTTCGGCTTCCGATTCAGATAAGGAATCCAAAGCAGAGAAAGATATTAGGGAGAGAAGATCGTCGGAGGACAAGCCAATGTACAATTTCGTGCACTACGACCCTGAAATGCATTGGTGTAAAGTCTGCGATATCTTTCCTAAGACAGCAAAGGAATATTTAAATCATCTCCATAGCAATGAGCACAAAGAGGCTTGCTTAGTAAGTAAAATTTTCTAACAATACGTTTGTCGTAAGGCAGACAGAGACGATTCTGAGAGAATTGAACGGTAGAAAAGAAAGAAAAAAAAATAGATTTAAAGATTCTCGTATTAGGTAGAAGAAAAAAAAATATATACATATGTTGCTTTGTGCGAATAAAAGAACAAATGATTTTAATTCAGGCTATGTATTTATAGTTCAAACTATATTTGTAACTGGATGATATATTACAGTAATGATCGACAAGTAGGTACTTGGTACATAGAGTGTAATCTCCCGCAATGTACCACACACGAATATTTATTAAAAAGACAAAGAGTAACGAGTTTCTCGCGCCCGATGTCAAGCCCGTTTCCTACTAACATTTTATTCTATACGCATAGGAACGCAAGATTGTTGATATGCCATGGCATGAGCGAAATAGCGAAGGAACAGAGAAAGAAGTGCCCTATTATCCAGGACTGCCGACAAAAAGAATTCCTATCAAAGGTAAGGTTGATTACAGTGGGCAATTACTAATAGAATATAATTCCGTAGCTTGTGCACAGATAACTGTGGTGTTCGGTATGTATTGAAGAAATCAACAATCATGAAATTGCTCGAAAATTTGTCTATCCCAAATGAGATCCGGAATATTTGTGATACTGACGCACTGCTATGAAAACCGATGATTTTAATTGTACGATTGGAAACGTATGACAAAATTGTTGCATAAGTCCACGATAGTTTTTTTTTTCTTCTTTTTTTTTTTCTTTGGATAACAAATTTTCCAGCAATGTTGCAAACACCACAGCGATGCATTGGATTTTAACTGGATGCAAGAAGCGCACTTTCCGAGCCGAACTTTCAGGCAATGTCACTTTGTCGTGATCATGTGTCTAATTTTATTTTCCGCAACTGCGTTTTACACAATTTAGGGTGTTCAACTGTCTTCAGGAGTAAATCTGTCAAGATTTTATTGTGGAGTGTATTACTTGGCAGAGAATATAACGACGCATAAGATAATGTATATAAAGTACTTTGTGTTGTTGCTTAGAACTGAGATGTATATACACATACGTGTAAGTTTGGTGAAGTTATTCGAAGAAAGTTACCGCTATATGATTTATATGAAAAATGTGTATTATTCTTTCAATATTATTATTAATTTAATTTAAACATCAAATTGTACTAGCTGTTTGTGAAATGTACTGCAAGTGTGGATTGTGACTCGATAATTGTCACGTTGCAAAGAAATTGTCCATTCGCTTTGAGAACGATTGAGGATGAACAGTTGCAGTATGTTCGTATGAGAATACAATGTATATCTATCTAGCTGTATATATTATATGCATTATTATATGTATCATGTAAATTACACTTCTGCGAAAAATAAAACTGATTCTTCCTTCCCCTTCTGCTCTTCTAGATCATCGTGGGACTATGCATGGAAATTTAATATAATCGGGCCATTTATCGAACATCTTTTAATATATTATTTTTGTTTTCAGTGACATGAATGTGTCGTGGCAGAATATAAGGTCATTCTTTATCAACTTACAATGCTTACCCGCTTCGAAGCTAAAATAATGCTAACGGCAGAAATCTTTGATTATAGGACTGCAATTCTTCAGCGCAGCGACGGCTTGGTATTGCAAACTATGCGACTCTTGGATAGGGGATCTCCATTGTGCTAGTTTACATCTGAAATCGAAACGCCACTCGGAAAACTTTTCTGTAAGTAAGACAAATGATAATCGAGAGAGAGAGAGCAGTAACATTAGATTTGTACAAAATGTATTTCACTCGCGGAATATAATTGAAAAAATTGCAATTAGAAATTATTCTTGAAATAATTTTACTGATTGAGATGTTATCAGTAATAGAATCAAATAAAAAGAAATCAATATTTTTGAGTATTAATCTCATATTTTTCACGCAAATAATTCAGCGAAATAATGTGTTGTTTAGCGCTTTGTGGAACAAAATCCACATTGGGAAACTGATTGGATGGCGGATCGAGAAAAGGCGTTCTCCGAGGATAAGCACAAGCAGATACAATTGGAACTGCAGAAGCAGAAGGACGACGATCCGCCGGCGAAGTCGAAGAAGTCGAAGAAGAACAAGAAAAAGTCGAAGAAGGCGAAGAAGCGCCGGAATAGGAGCAGCGCCAGCGACACGTCCACTGAATCAGAGAACTCTGATACAGAATCTGACCAGGATACCACCAAGAGCATACGCGTGGCGATGCGAAACAAGATGAAGGCGTCAACGCAGGCGATTCTAAACGAGGAGATAGATTATCAGCGTATAAAGCTGAAAGGGCACAATTGGTCGAAGGCGCCGCCAGTGAACCAATCGCCGCAGCCGTCGGAGCAACATCCGTCGGAGGCGGACGACAGGCAGCTTCTGAACTCGATCAGAGACAAGCTGAAGGCTAAGCAGGAGGAGGACATGAAGAGCCGCAAGAATTCGGACAAGATGGAAGATGAGGAGGAGGAGGAGTTGCAGCAGGATCCTTATTCTAAGAAGTCGGAGGATTTGGAGGCTTGGGCCCAAAAGAGCCGCCCAAGCCGTTCTGGATAAAGAAGGAGGAGGAGAAGCAGTCGCAACCGATCATGACGAACAAGCCGATCGAGCTGCCGAAACCGGAGGAGATGCCGAAGCCGCACATGGGATTCTGGACGAAGCAGCAAGTGAATATGACGGTGAAACCGCCCGAAAGTAAATCGATCGAGAAGGAGGATGAGAGGGATCGCGACCGGGATCGCTACAAGGACGATCGCGACCGCAAGTACAGCAGGTACGAGAGGAGGAGTCGGCGGGATCGAGATCGGGACAGGGACAGGGATCGCGATCGCGATCGCGATCGCGACTACTACGACGATCGTCGAAAGAGGGACAGAGACAGGGACAGCAATGATTCTCCGAGGCGCGACAGAAGCTGGCGCGACAGTAGCCCGAAGAGAGGCTACGACAAGTACGGCAAGGACCGGCGGGGAGGCGGCGACAACGACAACAACTCGTCGAACGACGAGTCCAAGTTCGAGAAGAAGTCGAGCGACTCGAAGTCGAAGAAGGGCGCTGCTCTGGCCAAGAAGTCGGCGCCGCAGGTTGCCGCTAAAGGCAAGCTGCCGTTTATCGGCAGATTACCGCTGTTCAAGAAGAAGGCCGAGGAGCCGAAGCTGCCGGAGAAGGACATCGCGCCGTTGCCCTATCAACAGAGCAAGTTCGAGGACACGCCGAAAGTGCCGAACGAGATTATTAATCCGCCGGGCGTCGTGCACATCACGAAGCTGGCGACTCCGTTGAATCTGAGTAACAACACGACCTTGCAGACGAGCAAGACGAGCAATCAGCCTATGAAGATCCTCGTGGCGCCACCGCCGCCCGTGCTAAACGAGAGCAAGCCGACGCCGCAGGTGGTCGACATGGAGATAGATGATCAATCCGAGGAGACGGTCATAGAGGAGCAACCGATAGTGGAGCAAAAGCAGCAGCAGACGTCGGGCGTGTCGAAGCTGCCGTTACCGCCGCATCCGCCGCCGCCGTTGAACAGACCGCCGCCCAGCTTCACGCCGGGCCCGCAAGCAACAGCAGCAAGCGGCGGCGGCGATACCGAGTAGACCGCCGCCGGTGCAGAGCACGCCGCCGGCGCCGCAGTTCACGCCGAATCGTCCGCCGCCGCCGTTCATGTCGACACCGCCGCCGTTCGTTCAGGCGCCGCCGAGATTCCCGCCGCGTCAACCTGTGCCGCCCGCCGCCTTCATGACGCAGCCGCCGCCGATGCCGGGCGCGACGGGCTACGTGCAGAATCATCAGAATCCGCCGCCGCCGCCGCTCCCGTCGACAATGGTGGACGCCGGTGTCGTCGCGCCGCCGCATTCGGACGTGGCCGATATACCGGAGCCTTCGGAGAAACGCTCGGCCGACCCGAGTATCCCACTGCCGGATGATCTGCAGGAGGCCCTCAATATAATCTTCCCCAAGGAAGAAACGGCGGAGGCCAAGCAGCAGCACCAGAGCCACCACGAACCCAACGTCATGTATTCGTCGATGTACAGTATGCTAGGCTGCGTTGGCTACGGTCCCGAATACATGGATCAACCGCCGCCGGAAATTATGCAGGAAGCTGAAGCGGACACTCAACCGGGGCCCGATGATCTTCGTATGTTGGGCATCGACGAAGGGGATACGATACTGTAAATCAACGTTCTCGCAACGTTTTCCAACATCAGTGATGAAAGAATTGATCTGTAGGTCGCGTATCGATACGTATCGATGAGAATTGTTGCTGAATCGATACGCTTGTCATTCATCCCGACGTGTAACAAGTTATATTTCGTCAATAATTATCCGCTGTTTTAAGAATCAGATGTGATAAAAAAAAAAAAAAAAAAAAAAGGACGCACTATGATAGACGAGCTTGAAGTATTGTGAGAATAAAAGATGCACACGTTCTGTAAAGATTACTTAATAATATACAATAGAATTGTCCGTTAGATTGTAATATTCGTTATCTCGTTAACACCCCCGATTGTGTATCTTTCGTTTCTGTCGTATGTTTCTGCGGAGCTTTATTTTGGAATTCATGACGTACTGTCGCGCAATTAATGTCGATGTTAAAAAAATAAGCGGTATCAGTGAAAATTAATTTACGATCGATGTTCCAAGTTTCATCTGTATATTAACAAAGATTACAAGAGGAAAACAAAACACTCTTTGATAAAATCTGCAAATAATTTTCGCAATTGGCGTTTGACGTTATCAACGCGCAAATATCGTGAGAAAAGATATGTATAATATCAATAAAGAAACATAGAATATACCACATCGTGTATCAACGTATTATATATTATTCTTCGATATTGTAAATCCGTAACTCTCAACCTTGCGTCATTTATGTACAATTTCGCTTGTTCGTATCGATCCTAATTTTTTTTTTTTTTTCTTATGTAAAGGTTCTAAAGATCCGAAGTGGAATGTAAGATCGTACATTGCAATTATATGCGATATTTCTTGAAATTAAACTTTTTTTTTTTGTAAAAATGCATTCTGTCTCGTTATTCAATAGTCTTTCTTTTCTTACAATCGGTTTATTGGAATATCACATTAGCTCTGCTTTTCAAAGTCAGCGTCTACAAATCTATTACTACGAAATTGTTGGAATTATTGCTATCGAAATACGAGTCACATAGTACGCACAGTGTCAGAGATACCTTAATGCCTCAAATGTTTGAATGTATTCAGAGCTGTTAGACTGATAAATACCTCCGAAACAAGCATGCCCGATTCTTCAAGCAGCAATTTGTATATGAAAATCCGCAGCAATATTTAGTAGGCAAACTGGCTGTCTCGCAAAGGTATTTCTGACACCGTGCTTAATGTCAATGATTCTATTCAATGGTTAAATATTCATTTTCAGCACTGAAAAAATTTCAAGACTTTTTGAGACGGCCTCATTAATCATAAAAACACTTAATCTACCACAGCACTGCGATTAGCTTATATGATACAGTACTGTAAAGTACTGAAGTAAATTTCTTTTGATTAAAATTAGTCTACAAGTACGAGAGTAACAATGCAATGTCCACGAACATTGACGTTAGTACCAATCGTTATCGGTAATAGGCAGAGTGTCCACGATTCGATAAAACGCACACGAGTGCATAAAAGAATTAAATGGTGCTTCGTTTCTTCAGCGAGGCGCAATAAGTCGTCGCTTGTATTCAGTCTATTTTTTTTTTGTTTTTGCAGTCGAATGGAATGTAAAAAACCAGTGTGGAATAAACGTCGATCGTTTGCGCGATATCGCCGTTCTGCAAACGTGAGTAAAGGCCTGCTGTAGGATTTTTGTTCATTTTATGCGTACAGAGAGAGAGAGAGAGAAAGAGAAAGAGGGAATATGTGATTTGCAACAACAAACGCAGTGGTGCAGTAAAAACAATCCCATCAATCGGTGTGTCTATACTTCGATCCGGAGTTCAGATCTGGAGTTCAGATCTGAAGTACGAGGCCTGCGCTGGAAATGTTATCTCCACCACCTGCCGTCTGACTAGCTTGCGTGCAAACCAACACGGGCGCGACGCACACTTGAATAGAAATAATCTCCTGCTCCAGTTTCAGTATCTCGTCCCAACAGGAAACCGGCTTGTCGATGTTCAGCGCAATTCGTGTGCCATCGATGATGGACGTCGAGAAACTGTCGTCCATGATCAGCGTTGCCTTCTTCACGTCGACCTGCGCGAAGAGAAATTGAACTTTGAGACTAAATTTGCGGTGTCTAACATTTTGTTAAAAAATAATTGCAACGATCAATATGTTTAATCGTACAGCTCGCCCGGACGATACTTACGCTGCTCGACGCGCATACGTGCCTATGTGCGGTCAGCGATGCTTTAGCCGCGGCAGCCATCGTATTCTTCCAGATGGAATCCTTGACGGTGAATATGGCTTGATACGCCAGCGTGTGCACGTGAATCCTCGTGAGCTCTCTGGAGTCCGCGATTGACTTGCCTCGCATGCGTATGAGTTTGAACAACGTTCGCATCTGATCCAGCACTGTCGCGACTCGCGGAGTCGAATTGGCCACCAGCGAGATGTTACCGTAGTACATGGCGTTGTACAAGTTCGCTATTTCCTGTTCGTTCATCCCCAAACTGTCGGCGTACGGAACCACCAGGTCGCACAGCTCGAAGAGCAGTTTGTCCTCGGCAAACGAGGCCATTTCGAAATGGATTTTCGTGGAACTCGACCGATCAATCATTTGTTTCTTTACGTTCATCAATAGGCTCTTGCGCTTGTCTGTAAAAGTGCGTAGTTTGTTATTTGACATAGAATTGTGGAAATTTCGGATGATCGAAAAGTCACCTTCTCGAAATGGATAATTGTCCATCATCTGAAGGCCGCTGACTACAAGTAAATCGGGATCGTAGGTTTCCAGCACCTTGTCGAAGGCATTGAACGAGCTGATCATTGGATTATTCACATCGTTGTGAACGATATATCTAGAAAGAAAAGTGTGAAATAAATAATGGAATCTTGTGTTAATTCGCGCAATTTGTTCGATTGTACATCCATTAATACCTGTTTGCTCTCGCGCTGGAATAAGGACCCCACACCTCGCCGTGTTTGTATTCCATGATGAGATGGATATCATCGCGTTTCTCCTCACCGCCTACGATGTTTATCACCTGCGGAAACATCTGGTGTAAGGATGTGGTCAGCTTAGCCCCAAGAGTCACGTCACATCCTTCCCGCGCGAATCGCATTGCCATAACCGCCGCATTGCCTCCGATTGTCGAGTAGGATGAAGGAAACGAGCGTGCCTTTAAAACCAGCTCATCGAACAAAGTTCTGTTCGCCATGTAACGCCTGTGAAAGAAACGTTTTGTCATTTCGAGCGAGATAACTGCTTAATGTAATTTATAATTGATGCAACAAACCTTAGCATAAAACTACAATTATAATTTTGAATAATCTTTTTGCATATCTTATTAGGCATCTCACTGCATACATTTCAATACATTTCGTTTAAACAAGTACTTACATACTTTAAGCATGTAACGAGCTTTAATAATCAATATATTTAACTGTTAAACAATAACTTATGCATTGTCTATGTATACTTTTAGAACCATCCTGTAATATAACTTGCAGTCAAAAGTAATGAATTCAGTGCTTACTCGGCCGCGGCTCCATGGCGAAAATAATAGGCGAAGCTCTTGAGCAACTCGAGCTCGGTGTTGATCTCGTCGAAATGCTCAGGTCGGCCGATCTCATCCGAATATTTTAGTAAATGCTTTGCGTCAATGAAGACGTCGGTGCACACGCCATAACCTACAGCAACTTTCGGCTTCCTAGTAATGACGTGTTTGTTCTCGAGCCTTTCGAGGCCGTGCAGTAAGGCTAGCAATCGCTTTTGCAGAACATTCTCGGTATTACGATAATAAATCGCCAGTAATACAATTAATACGGTGAAAAACGTCCCGTATCCTAACCTTTTTTTATATCCCATATTGCGACCTGTGTGTTGTATGCGCAACTCAGCGTATCTGCCACACTATCATTCGCAAATCGCGATAACTGTATATATGCAAACAGCGACTTATCTGAGTTATCTGAGATAATGACAGTATAGTAATACTAACATATGTTACATATATAACATTATATTTATTTATATATAATATATATATATATATATATATATATATATGTGTGTGTATATAATATATATAAGGATGTCTTAAAGATGTTCTAACAACGTCATAAAAAAGACGTTGTTTTTTAATTTCTTTAATAATTGACATTCTGAATTTTGCAATAAAAAAACTTTCTAAAAATGTTAAAAGAAACGTTTTAATCATTTAAATGTTTTACGAGCATTCTAACACTGTCAAAAATAGCAAAAATAAACATGTAGAAAGGTTATAATTATCCACCCACACAACATTATTGCAACATTATGTCGTCTTATGTTTGCTGAAAGTCGTCTTAAAATCACTCAGACGTCTTACGAAACTGTCAGAGAGACGTATTTAAAACGTCTATAAGACGTTTTATGCAACAATTTTCGACGATTTAGAAATGTCTTCGAGATGTCTCTTGATTTGTCTTATAAGACGACTGTGAGACTTATTTTAAGATGCCTTTAAGACAAACGTTTTATTAAAATAATGATTTTATACTCAAGTAGCAAATGATCGTCATCTGATGTTTTTTTATTGTCATAATTGGTTATTATATTATATTATATAATATCAAGATATGTTAAAATATAAAATCT